CGCCCGCTATTTGTCGCACAGGGCTCTCGTCAAGATTCCCGCCTGGAATATACAGCACCTGTCGGTCAGCAACTGTCCCAAACTCAACACCGAACACCTCGAGATGGCTTTCACTAAGGTTTGTCTCGATTTCACTGACGATTATGTGTTGATATAGTATTGAAACACTTGTATTGATTGTGTGAACAGTGGAGTAAATCGCTGATAGATGTGGACATATCGTGGAATACCAGTGAAGTGAGTGTCACCTGTTGTATGACATCCCTGTGCGAAGTGGGAGAAGAGGAGTCACAGCTACGGACACTACAACTCAGGGGTTCAGCCGTTTCCTACGAATCGATTAAGTGTTTGTTGAGAAGTTGTCCGAAATTAGAGTCAATTGATTTGCAGTCGTGTAGAGGTCTGCCCAGAGGTATAAAGAGGTCGTATTCGGGGCAAGACTTCTATACATTGAAGTCAGAGGTTTTCGAGGGAAAGTACGATTGAATGCAAAGTACAGTTCAAATGAATAATATATTTCAGAGGATATATTAATTGTATATTTTTTGATAACTCACTGCTTTGTAGTAGACGTTTAAAACTTGACATTATTAACTCATTTCCACTCATTTATGGCAAACTTTTGCTAATAATTGAAATCTATTAAATCAAAATTGGATTAATTTGATTTTTTGAATGTTTGAAATTAATTTATGCTTTGAATATTGTTTAAATCAAAAGTTCAAATTGTTTAGTGCTTTAAATACAATAACTTATACATAACTAAATAAAAGGTTTTTACAATTTGTAAATTACAAATAAGTGCAAAAATATAACAAAAATGCAGATTTATTGCCAAATAATGCATGAATGAGTGGATTGTTTATTGGAATCGTTTACTTAATTCATAAATCATTAGTTGATTAGAAATAATGATTATTTAGATTATAACTTGTTTTTTGTTTTATTTAATTGAGATTTTATTGTCTTAAATCTTTTGGTCGGATAAAACATTATAATACTGTATACAGTAATTAATGAGTTTATATTTAGATTCAATTCTTATGTGTAAAACAAATTTAGTTAATACTCTGTTTTATCAAAGTTTTATTAAATTATTGAATACATGGCACAAAAAATATATTGTATATTTGCAACGATTAATTATCGCAAACTAATGATTGCATACTATTATTGAATGAAAAATTATTCATTTGTAATTACA